TTGTATTTTAATTTTATGTCCTGCTAATTCACTGAACTCTTTTATTGTTTGAATTAGTTTTATGCTTGATTCTCTGGGGTTTTTCAGGTATAACATTATGTCTTCTGCAAATAGTGGTAGTTTTATTTCTTCTTTAGTCATTCTTAGGCCTCTAATTGATATATCTTGTCTAATTGCATTGGGTAATACCTCTAGTACTATGTGGAATAGAGGTGGAGATAGTGGCCATTCACGCCATGTTCCTGATCCTAGTGGAAATACTTCCAGTGTTTCTTGAGTAAATAAGATGCTGGCTTTAGGTCTATATTTTATCATTTTGAGAAAGCATCCCTCACTTCCTATTTCACTGAGTGTTTTTTATCACAAATGGGTGTTGAATTTTGTTAAAGGTTTTTTTGGCATCTATAGAGAAAATCATATGATTTTCCTCTCAGTATCATTAATATGGTGCATGCTTGTTATGGGTTGAATTGTGTCCCTCAAAAGCTGTTGAAGTGTATCCCCCAGTATCTCAGAATGTAACCTTACTTGGAAATAGGGTCTTTACAGAGGTGATCAAATTAAAATGAGGTCATTGGTATGGACCCTAATTCAATATGACTGGCGTTCTTATTGAAACATGAAATTTGTACATAGAGATAGACACACACATAGGGAGAACACATGTAAACATGAAGGCCGAGATCAGGGTGTTGTGTCTACAAGCCAAGGAACCCCAAAGATTGCCAGCAAACCACCAGAAGCTAGGAAAAAGGCACAGAACAGATTCTCCCTCACAGCCCTCAGATGGACCCAACCTTGATGACATCTTGATCTTGGACTTCTAGCCTCCAGAACTGTGAGACAATGAATTTCTGTTGTTTAAGCTGCCTAGTTTGTGGTACTTTGTTATGGCAGCCCTAAAAAACTAATGCTGTTAATGGATTTCCTAATATTAAACCAACCTTGCATTCCTGGAATAAATCCCACTTGGTTTTGGCTGGTTTTCAATAATATCCAGGATACTAACAAAATATAAGCAGTGTTTTAGAGAAGCATGGAATTGAGAGCAACTCAAAGGTCATTTTGTCCTCCATATCCCCATTTTCCATGATGTCTGCTCTGTTCTGGAGTCCAATGCAACCCTCCCATTTCCTGAACTCTCAGGAGAATACCATCAGCAACCACTCCCAACCTGAAAGTTCTGTGGTGTCTGACTCAGCTCCTCTCCCTGTAATCCTGACCCCTTGGCTAGATGGCAGTGGGGGGACTGGTTAACATGGTTACTTGAATATTCCACCCCAAGACACCAGGCCTTAGGAGCCTCCATTTTGAGCCACTACCCACGCCCAGGGGCTTCCTTTAGGGTTCTCAAACAATAGCTAGGCAATTATATCTGCTGGCATTTTTTTAAAGATATTATTATTGTTGTTGGAACAATAACAATCCTTTTAAAAGGATTATTATTATTATAAAACTTTCACCTGGGAAACCCTGTTACATACAAGAGCAGTGAAGGTAGGAGTTTTCTGGCCCAGAACAGAGAAGATTCTGCCTCCAGGGCTCTGGTGGGGTGGAGGTATGGAGTCCTATAGAACTAGGAAGTGGGAAGTGGATCAGCTCTGGGAGACAAAGGACTCTCCCAAGTAGAGTGGAAAGAGCTGCCCTGTGAGGGGATGAGCTCCCAGTTACAGAGGGATACAAGCGGAAGCTACACAGCCAGTCAAGGAGCCTATAGACCTGGCTTTTCTCTAGGGGAGAGGGGAGGGGAGGAGGGGAAGGGCACAAGAGTGGAGTCAGACAGGGTAGGTATGGATTCCAGTTCTGCCTTTTCCTAATCGTGTAACCTGGGGCGCCTCCCTGAGGCTCAGGTCTGTCATCTGCAAAATGGAGCTAATGAGGGCTCCTGCAGAATGTAGCTGTGAGAATTAAAAGGGAAGAGCACCCACACAGCAGGCCCCATGATGGCACCATTAGATGACTCAGTTTACGAAAACCGCCCAGCAGGGTCCTGGGGCTAGAGCCTCATCAGAGCCCCCCCCTTCCCCAAACTTGTCGGGAAGCCAGGCTCTTCCTGGCTTGTCTTGAACCCCTACCCTGCCTCCCCCTCCAACAAGAGTAGGGCCAATGCCTCCCCCTCCCCCACCCCACCAGGCTGGGTGCCCTGGACAGGTCACTGTCTCCCTCTAGGCCTCTTTCCTCATCTGCCGGAGAAGGTGGGGGCTGCCAGAGATGGGCTCTGAGGTGGGCCCTTTCAGTTCTAACACTCTGGGATGCCTGGGCTTCTAACCAGCCATGGGTACTGTACCTGTCTCTGCTTCTGGGGACCCAGTGTCCTCACAAAATGAGGGTGTTGGGCTAGATGAAAATAACGTCAGCTAAGCCACGCTGAGCACTTACTCTGAGCCAGGGGCCACTCTAGGATACGTCCATTTAATTCCCACAACAACCCCCTAGTGTGGGTGCTGCTATAGTGATTTTACGGGTGAGGAGACTGGGGCACAGAGAGGTTAGGTCACTTGCCCAAGGTCATCCAGCTAATATGAGCCCAGGCAGTGAGTTCAGAGTCCACGCTTGCAACCACCACGCAGCACCCCTCTTGCGGCTCCAACAACCCGAAACACAAAAGGGGCCTGAGTATCCTCCAAACTCCACTGTCTGCGGGCTACGGCAGACATGTTTTCTCAGATGTGAGCCCAGGCCCACCTCTGAACACATAGGAGCTGCTCAGCCCAGAAGCATTGCTGCCCAACACCCCACGTGATGGGGCCTTATTGGGCCCTGCAACGTGCATACCTGATCCCCACACACGTCTGCTAGAAGCCCATTTCACAGACAGAAAAATGAGGCTCTGAAAGGATAGGGGACTTGCCTGGATCACACGGCAGTAACCAGCAGAGTGAGGACCGGAGATCAGAGCTGCGGCTTCCCCAAGGACTAACGTTTTCTCCAGAATGAGCCTCAGCCTCATCCTCCAGCAGACTCCACCACGGACTCCAAGAGAGGCAGCATGAGTTCCAGGCAAGCAAGGGAGTGGGAATGCTGGAGAAGGGGAGCGGGGCTTCGTGGTGGAGACATGGCCTGATGTCAGGACACGCCTCATGGAGAGGAAGGAAGAGGCTTTCAGAGGCACATCAGCACAAACAGGTCTGAGCGTGGAGGAGTGGACAGCGCTCGAGAGGAGTGTGGGGGATCTGAATTGGCCACTCCAAAATGTGTCTTTTTGGCTTCATTTTTTTTTTTTTTAACCTTTTTTGTGAGGAGATCAGCCCTGTGCTAACATCTGCAAATCCTCCTCTTTTTTTTGCTGAGGAAGACTGGCCCTCGGCCAACATCCATGCCCATCTTCCTCCACTATATATGGGATGCTGCCACAGCATGGCTTGCCAAGCAGTGCCTTGGTGTGCGCCCGGGATCTGAACCAGCGAACCCCGGACCGCCACAGCAGAGCGCAAGCACTCAACTGTTTGCGCCACCGGGCGGCCCCTTGGCTTGATTATTTTTAAGGACAAGAGACTCTAAAAGAAACTTTGACCTCCTCCTAACTGCCTAAAGGAATTTAAGACAGAAGGCCTGCCCCAGGAAGGAGCTAGGACCATAAGATCACTCTAGTGTGATAGAAACTAGGTGTGGTAGACAGAAGGATCCTTGCTAAGCCCATTCTTATCAAAGTTCTCTTTCCCAGGTCACATCGTCTGTAGATGACCCAGCAAACATTTGTTTACCAAATGTTTACTTTTCCATCTCCATGTGAATTGCCTTCCCGACCTTTGAAGTCCCAAACCACTACCCCTAACATCCTCCTGTGTCTTTAACTGAAGACGGGTTTCTCCCATGTATACATGTTATTAAATTTCGTTTCATTTTCTCCTGTTATTCTGTCTCATGTGAATTTAATTCTTAGATCAGCCAGAAGGACCTAGAGGGTAGAGGAATATTCTTCCTCCCCTACAGGAGCATTGGGGGCCTGGGGAGGCTGCTGCTGCCCAGGGCACAGGCAGTGGAATGGGGTTTGGGTGGGGGAGTCAGGCAGGGGCGCAGTCTTAGAACATTGTTCCGTGGGTGGGGGGGTCATGGTTGCCTATCTGAAAGTCTTCCTTGTCTGGATAGGAGGCTCCCGAGGGGCCTGGAGCTACACCCAGGGGAGAAACATCTGGGAGGCCTGGGACAAGGGCTGTGAGGTGGTGAAAGAGGCCGGATTAGTCCGAAAGGTGGATGAAATCATTAACCGAGACTGGGCACACTGGAGGGGGAGGTGAGTGGGCCTGAGTTTCTCCATCTGCAAAGTGGGCTCATACAGGCCTCCGATGAGCTGATCAGACGCGTGTCTGCCTTGCTGTCCCAGAGCCGCGGAGAGGAGGCCCGCATGCCCGAGCCCCTGCCATGTGCCAGGACTGGTCCTTCACAAGCCTTCTCAAGCTTATGCCCAAAACATGCCCCTCCTGCTGCTGCTGCCCTATCATAGCGCGGGTAAATGCTCAATGTGGGCCTGGAGCCAGTTCTCCCCATCTGACAAGGGCCCTCTGAGCCTCTGGGGTCTGGGCCCCCCTCCATCCCAAACCCCGGGGATGGATATGGACATGGAGATGGGGACGAGATGGGCGCCCCTCTTCAGGTCGTTCTTTGCCGTGGCCCTAGCCGGGGTCACTGTACAAGATGCATACTCAGAGCTCCCTGGCACGGAACCCTCGGGCAGCTGCAGCCCCGGGCTCGGCCCTGAGGGGCTCCTGGAGTATTCCACAGTGGACAGAGCGAGGCTGGGAGGGAGGGAGAACGGGGGCCTGATCGAGGAAAGAGGGGAATCCCAAATCCCCTCCTACTCCCCAGCGGGAACCCCGCAGCCACTTCCCACCCGGTTCTCGCCACAGCGAGGCGCCAGTTCGCATGCGCAGCAGTCCTGGCCCTCCAGCTTGGAAACCACGCCTCTGTCCCCAAATGGGCGGAGGCTGCGGGGCGGGCCGGGGCGGGCTACAGCCAGCGAGTCCGAGCTCCGGCCCCCGCCCCAGGCCAGCCCCAGCCGATCCCCAGCCAAAGCCGGAGGCTGCTGCGCGGGGCGGGTCCAGCCCCCCTCCGGTGCCCGCGCCGTGCCCTGCATCCCCAGAGTCTGGCTCAGCCCACGGCGGCGCGGCAGGTAGGAGGCGCTGCGCAGAGGGAGGCGTGTGCGGGCGCGCCTGTGTTCATGTGTGTGTTTCGGGGGTGTGTGTGCGGATGCAGCGCGGGCCAGTGCGTGTGCCCTGTGCGCACGAAGCCGTGTGGGGGGTGCACAGCCCGCAGGCAGGGGAGGAAGGAGGTGAGCGCTGGCCTTCAGCCCCGGGGGCGGGGGCCTCGAGCATCCGCCGCGGCCCCGGGGGTTCGTCCCCACCCCACCCCACCGCCACCCCCGCCCCGCGGCGAAGGGTCCCCCACTCCCCCTCCCCGGGTGTTCCGGAGTCGGTTTCCCAGTGCGGATGCGCTGGGGGTTAACCCCCGGGCTTCGCCGCCCTTCCCCTCCTCTTCCTCACAATTCCCCTTTCCTGTTCCCTTCCCAGCCCTCCACCCATTCGATTCCACAGCCCCTCCTCGGTGCCCCCATCCCCCGTCCCTGGAGGCTTGGGAAAGGGGGCAAGGCCAAGGCGAATTCCCTTCCTGATCCTCCTGGGTTGAATAGCGGCCTTTTTTGCGGGCTGCTGGACTCGTGTGTGGGGGCGGGGGGGGAGATCTGGGAGAGAACGGATCTTGGGCCTCTCTGATCCCGCCTCCACCCTTCAGAGCTGGGAGTCTGGGGAGACCAGCGTGGGGTCCAGAGGTGAAGTAGGACGGAAGATCAGTAACAGGTGCCAGGTTGTCTCCAGGCTTCATTTCAAGTAGTGGGGTTCAGCCCCAGACCCCACAGCGAGGAGGAGAGCTGACACGCAGGGGTGAAGTGAGCTCCTCTTTCTCTCCGGGCTGCTGAGCCAGGATTTGAACCTGGGTCAGCCTGGCTTTCAAGCCAGAATCTTCTCCCCGCACCAGAGTTGGAGAGAGATGTGCCAAGGGCAACTATTTCTCTGATTCAGAGAGAGAAATCTGAGCAGACTTCCTGGAAGAGAGGGGTTTGAGGGTGGGCCTCAGCCCACCATATGAGTGTGAGGCCTCCTGGAGAACCACTATGATCTGCTGCAGGATTGAGACCCCCCAGGGTCTTTGGGCCTGGTCCTTGCTCTGGTCACCAGAGTCCCAGGGCGGGCGTGGGAAGGCCTGGCTGGCTGCTTTCCCCTGCTGAGGGACTGGGCGGGGTGGGGTCAGGCCCAGCTGCTGCTGCTTCAGGCCAGTCCCGAGCTGGGTGCCAGGACGAAGAGGTGCTCAGGCGGGGTCATTGCCCTGAGGAGCCCTCTCTTGCGACCAGTGAGGCAGATGGGTCAACAGATAAGCCTCTGCCCAGAGTTGTACCCAGTGCTGGAGCCCCAGGCAGGGGCCAGTCCCTGCCTGGGAGCTGGGGGAGATTTCACTGGATACATGGGTGCTGGGTCTCGAAGGATGGAAAGTTCACCAAGCAGAAAAGAAAGGGCCGGGCGCTGCAGGCCCAGGGATAGATGGGGAAGGGCCTGGAGGTGTGACACCGAGCACTAGTGTGCAGGGAGGGCATTAAATAGTCAGGTGTGCGTCTGAGAAGGGTCCTCTTTGGCTGCTATAGTGGGTGAGTTGCTATGGAGGCCAGAGCAGGGAGAGGCCCACTCCTCCCCCTCCCCAGCTGCCCACTCTGGGCTAGGCTCTGCACAGAAGGAAGGGATCCAACAGGGATTCCCAGAGCAGGGGTGGGGGCGAATGGGAGGCGCTAAGGGGCTGCACAGGGCCCCAGTGTGGGGGAAGAGTGGGGGGAGCCCTCTCTGAGATGTGGGTGGACAAGTCTGGGCCAAGTCAATGAGGTGGGGGTTGGACGTGGTGGTTGTGAGAGGCCTGTGGGCTTTTGGGAGTGACATCAGGACGGTGCTCCTGGCCAGTGCTGTCTCTGGCTGCTTCTGCCCCTGTTTGCCCTAAGGGCTCTCAGGACAGCCCTGAAGCCCTGGTCCCTGACGAGGAGGCCCTCCTGGACCCCCAGTGGGCATGGGGAAGGCTCTCTCCACGACCTCCTACCTGCAGGGCCCGTCATTGTGTCCAAGCTTCTTTCTGGCCGAGACTGGCTCTGCATGTGACCTCGAGGCGGGGGACTTCCCCCATGAGCCTCAGTTTCCCCATGTGCGAAGTGGGGATCAGTGCTGCCTAACCACGGGGACTCGGAGAATGATGATGACGAAGGTAGATCGTGTTGCTGAAAGCACTTTACGAAGTCCGTTACCATTGGTAGCCGTTACAACTCACAGTAATTAGCCATCTGCATCCCTTAGTCCCTTCTCCCCTGGGGAGACAGCCCCCAGGAAGGAGGGGCCAAGTCTGGGAGAAGAAGGGTGAAAGGAAACGGGATCCCTCCCCTGGAAGTGGGAGCCCCTCTTGGCTTCAGCGGTGAGGGGAACGTGACCCTCTCAGCCCCCTCTCGTGGCTGGTCTTGCTATCTGCTTGACCACGTCCCTGGGCCTCCCACAGGCTCCTGCTCACTAAAGGTCACAGCAAAAGCTCAGCAGGGGGCCTTGGCGCCCCCTCCCCCGGCTGCAGAGGGCAGGTTTGCAAACCCCGGGAGCCATGTGGCTCCCCGGCAGGTCCTGGGGACCTGGGGCAGACGTGGACGTCTGTCTGCAGCTGATCTTCCCACCTCACCCCTGCCTTTCTCTTCCCCCATGGCCTCAAGTGTTTTGGGTGACTTTAGAGCCCCCTTCCCTCTACCCCTCGAGCCCCCCCACAGAGACCTCTTCTGTCCCTTCATCCCTTGCCCTTCCTGCTCAAAACATTCCTTGGCTGGCAGTGGTCCCCCAGGCCTCACCTTCAGGGCCCCCACCCCCGCAGCTCCCCTCTGCCTGGGGTTGCCTCACTTCACTTAGGCTGAGCGCCACCTTCCCTTTGGCCTCAGGCCTTGCCTTTTCCTGCTCACTAAAGGCAAAATGGGCCGAGTCCCTTTGGGGTTCTAATCCAGGGTGTTTTAGGAAGCCAGCCCTCTGGCTTGGACACGGGAAGTTCTGGAAGCTGAGCTTTTGCTTGCTGTAGTGGCCTGAGTTACTGCTCCCCATTCTCCTTCTTCAGAGATGTTTCTAGGGGCCCCCAGCTTTCCCGGGGCTAGGGGTGTCAGGGTGGCGGTGGCTGAGGCTGTGGTGGCCTGTGGGTGTGGGCTGTGGTTTCTGCCACGGTGGGGCATGTGGCCAGCTATGGGAGAAGCAGCTGGTGGCCAGAGCGGCAAAGCCCCTCCATTGGTACCCAGCTGACCATCGCTGTGGGGGTGCTGGCCACAGGATCCTGTAGCCTGGGCAGAGAGCCTGCTGGTCTGCCCTGCCTGCCGCTGCCCAGCCAGCCCCTGCCTCGGTGCCCACCACTATTGTGTAAGTTCTTCTGCCACTCGGGGTGAGGTGGAACCCAAGTGGTTTGTTACTAATAATAGTAACTAAGACATCGAAGTTTGGGTGACTTTTTTTTACGTTGGAGCAATTGGAGGAGTAATAACTTCATCCTCACTCACTCACTGACTTCCCTGAGCAGGAGAGAGGCGTGAGGCCACATACCCACCCACACTGTTCGTCAAGAACAGTATCCATTTCCTATCGCTGCTGTAACAAATTAACACAAACTTAGTGGCTTAAAACAACACAAATTTATTCTTATAGTTTTGGGGGTCAAAAGTGTGAAATGAGTCTTATGGGGCTAAAATCAAAGTGTCAGCAGGCTGGTTCCTTCTGGAGGCTCTGGGGGAGAGTCTGTTCCTGTCTCTTCCAGCTTCTGGTGGCTGCTGGCATTCCTGTGACCTCATCACCCCAGTCTTTCCTTCCCTCATCAAATCGCGTTTTCCTCTTCTGGAGTCAGATCTCCCTCTGCCTCCTTCTCATGAGGACCCTTGTGATGAGGTTTAGGGCCCACCTGGATCACCCAGGATAATCGCCTGTCTCAAGATCCTTAATCACATCTGCAAAGTCCCGTTTGCCTTATAAGGTAACATACACAGGTTCCAGGCATTAGGATGTAGATATTTTGGGCAGCCATTATTCAGCCTACCACAGGCACCAACTGCAGCATCGTTGCGGGCTCCGTTCTCAGGGACCCCCATCCCGGGCACCCGCAGCCGCTAGCTTCCCCCATGAGTCACCCTCTGTGTCTGCCTCCCCTCCAGCCCAGGAGCTTTTGTGGGCAGAGCCTGGGCCTGCTGCTCCTCTGGCCCCAGAACCCAGCCTGAGACCCGGCAGCCAGAGATCAGGGATGTTTGGAAGGGAGCATGTGCTGGCATGTGCCCGTGGGTTTCCCCGGTGACCAGACCCCGTCCTGTATTTGACAGTGTGTTAGGACTTTCAGGGTGGAGTGCAGCTCATGTCAGACATTCATTCGATAAACCCAGTGCTGTGCAGGGGTGATCCCCACCATCACCCTGTGAGGGCTGGGGCTGGGCTGGGCGCCCCATTTGCAGATGAGAATACCAAGGCTGATTGAGGCTAAGTCTTGCCTGGAGCAGAGGGTGCGGGGGGAGCATGGGGTGGGGTCAGACTGGGCTAGTCAAGCGGAAGACCTTCATTTTAGGGATGAGAACTCTGAGGCACAAGGAAGGTAACTGTTTTGCCCCTCCCTGGGCCTCAGTCTCCCCATCTGAGGATGAGGATGTGGACGGGACGTTCTGAGGCTGAGTCCCCCTCTGCCTGGGCATGGGGAGGAGGGGGCATTGGTATTCGAGGCTGCCATGGGCAGGAACGTGACACGGTGCAGAGCAGTGCCCGGAGCATGGAAGTGCTGCCAACACACTACTCGCCCGGGGACTGGTTGTCGTCTTTGGAGGTGGTGAGCCTCCTGGTGCCTCCGAGGAAGAACCCCCAGCTAAACCCCGGAGAGCCCCTGGCCTGTGTGCTGTGGACCTGGCTGTAGTGTGGGTCTCCATTTCGTCTCACGGCCAAGGCTGTGCCATACGGGCCTGCTCCCCTCCCAGGGGCCGTTTCTACAGCCCTGTCTCCCTGCCTGCCTCCTGGCCTCCTTTCCATCTGACCTTCTTGTGAATCGTCCAGAAGCCGCACTCACACCCTGGCACGCTCCCGAGTTCTTGGCCTGCCTTTC